ATGTGTGTATATGCCCGTATGCTGGTACATGCACACTTACTTGCTTAATGAGATAAATGTCATTTGTCTATTACAATGTTCAAACCCAGGTTTAAAAACTCACTGAAGTTATACTGGCTTTATGCATGTCCATGTCAACATCACTCATGACAAATGAATGGCATTCAATCCTTTACTCTTGCTGCTATTCTTTCATTTTTGTCAGTGGATCTGTCACTTGTACTCCAGTCGCAAGCAGCGGGAAAATTCCCCTACAACTCCTTCTTTCGTCCTTAAGAGACTATTTCTGAGATTTTGCAATGTTCAGGTAGAGGTTCACGTTATCTCCTTTAACACAATAGGCTGAGAATTTGGAAGACAGACTCTGAATTGTGACCCCACAAGGTTTCCTGAGGGAGCTAGTAACAAAATGGCTAAGGTAAAAAGTGAGGCGGGGGGTGGGGGAGGGAGGACACTGAAAAGGTTCAGCAGCATGGATCTTTGTGGAGAAAAAGCAGTACAGGAAGATACGGAAGCCATTGTAGAAAAATAGAGATGGATCATAGAAATGAGTCCTGAAGAAGAAAAGGAAAGAAGCTTGCAAATGTGAATGATTAATAGAATAGCCTATCAGATCATTCTAAGGTGTGAAAGTCAGTTTTCCTGAATTAGTTCCTTATCTGCCTTTCGCCAAGAGATCTTGAAAAAGATGCATTCCCTTTCAGTGCTTCAGCTTCCTTATCAGCAAAACAGGCATATAAAATATACGACTCTCACAGAGAGCTGAGACCTTTAACTCATGATACAGGAGTAATGACACTAATTTATTGCTATTAAAGAATGAAAAATTAATTTTTTTTTACTCTTTGGTATCCAAATGCCTAGTTACCATAACTGAGAAAAGTTCCACTGTGCATGATACTGTACAAAAACATAGGAAGAAAAAAGTTCTGACACTGAAAGTTACAGGTATGAAAAATTATGAAAAAAAAAACAAAAGTACACAGCAACTTCAAAAAAACCTAACCCTTAAAATTGTAGATCACACATAACCGTATGTGCTGTAGTAGTTTCTTTTTGTGTGAGGATGAAGAACTGTGATACAAATAGAAGCATTCTTTTTCACAGTTTCAGAAACTTGAAAATGTTCAATAGTGACAAAAGCAACCAAGAGAAAGGAAGAAAAGTTCTTAACTAGGAAAACTCCACAATTTGAGAAACACCAAAACACATATCAGGAGTGGAAACTACAAGCCTAGCAGCTTAGAATTTACTTTCACATTTCTTTCCTTCTAATTCTTGGATAATACTAAGGTTTTCTTCATTGTTCCCAATAAAATGATCCACCAGAACCACCAGGAATATAACAAACTTGTAAAACTTCCTATCCATGTTCAGACTAGAAAAGTAGTTCTTAAGAGAAGATTGAAAACCTCCTTCACCTTCTAGCTTCTAAAAGGAATTGTAATGTCATGTTTCTCAGACCATGAGGAGGCATACAATGATCTGGAGGACCTAATAAAACTCTGAAGACAACATTCTCCTTTTTCATTGCAGCTGTTTCGTAGGGACATTTGACTTGCAAGGGTAACAGCATTTCCAACGTACATCCTCTGTGCTCTCCAGGTTTTAACTTAGTAGGTTTTAATATAGAAGTTAGTTTGTTTGTCTGATACATTAAGGGTGACAAAGCACTGGAACAGGCTGCCCAGGGAGGTTGTGGAGTCTCCTTGCCTGGAGATACTCAAAACCCGCCTGGATGCAGTCCTGTGCGACCTGCTCTAGATAACCTGTTTTAGCAGGGGGGCTGGACTAGATGATCTCCAGAGGTCCCTTCCAACCCCCACCATTCTGTGATTCTGTGTTTCTGTGATTCCCATTTAGATTCTCCTTCAAAAAATGTGTGGTTTAGCAACACACAGCTTTGGCCAGGTTCCAAAGATTTTTTAAGAAAAAATTCAATGGGCTGCTATATAGATAATTTATGCAGAAATTACTGCCAGTCTCATGGGCAACTACTGAGCCTCACTGTGATTGGAACTAATAACTATTACCAAGATATGATAATTTCATTTAACATTAGGAAACCATCTGGTGCCTTCACTTCTTGTTGTAACTTAATGCCACTGTTTTACTCAATTCATTCTCATTAAAACAAGACAAAGCAGCTACGGAAAAACATACACACAGATGATAAATTTATCATTTCAATCATCATTGTGCAACCCCCCCAGAACTCATACTGTCATAGATTTTTGAAGTAGGAGGGGACTACTAAAAGCTAATGTGAGTTCCTATACAATGAAGGATATCTATTTTATTGAGTAGCCTCTAAATCAAAAGCGTAACGTGTTTGGGCTAAGCTGTATCTATTTTCTTCACAATGGCTGCATGTGATGGATGAATCCAGCTCACTCCTAGACAAGTTGTACCAGTGGTTAATTACTCTCACTCTAAAAAATATGCACTTTATTTCTAGTCTGAATTTGCTTAACTTCAGCATTGAAACACTGGATCTCATTATGCCTTTTTCTGCTAGATTAAACAGTCATCTACTGTCAAAAGTCTCATTCCCATTAAAGCACTTACAGACCATGGTCAAGTCACCTCTTAACCTTCTCTTCAGCAGATTAAATAGACTGATCTTCTTTAGCCTCTAACTACATTGCTTATTTCCAGACCTACAGTCATTCTTTCACCCTTAATGAAGTCTTTCCGATTCTAAACATATTTTTGAAGTGTGCTCACCAGAAAAGGACACAATAGTTCATTAATAGTTTCCCTAATGCCATACAAAAAGGCAGTGTCACTTCCTACTTGAGATTCACTTGTCTATGTATCAGAGAAAACAATACACACCCTTTAAAACCCTCCTTTAGCTTACTGATAAAACAGAAAGTATTCTGAAAGGAATTTAAAATGTTCATATTTATGCTGGTTTTTTTATACTCAATACAGAAAATATATGCAACTCTTCTGTCTTTTCCATACTATTTATTCTTTTCTGTACTATCTACATCCAGTGTCACTCCTGTCAATTAAGATATTTTTCTGATAGTTTTTGTCTTCATCTGTTTCCTGTTCTTAAGTGGTTTTTTATATTGTTATTTAGTAGTAGTATCTATGAGTTATTCAACTCTACTAGTACCTTTTAAGGTAATTGCACTTACAGTCTTATTTTAAAATATTTTCTTGAATTTTCATTTTCTTTGTGTAAGGAAATTAAATTCCTTACTCAATTTGCTTATAGTAAATAGAAGTATATATGCAATTGCTATTTCATTAGAGTAAGTCCTCTTTAGTTCTTGGATACAATATACTAGATAAACACAAGATGTATCTAGATAAATAGAAACAGAAGAAGAAAGAGAGCAGAGAGAAATAATTGTTCAGAAAAGGGAGCAGTATATTAATAATCAGGGGGGAAAAACAACTAGAGAAAGAGTAGCCTCTGTGCGCTCAAAAAACCCACAGATAATGTACATACAAAAAAAAAAAAGGAAAAAGAGTGAATATGAGAGAAAATTAAGTGTGGGGAAAAGGAAAAGTAAAAATTAAGAAGATGCAGAAAAAAGTGCTTCTGGCAACCAGAAGGAAAGACACTGCTAATTTAAACTTGCTTCCTAATATTTTAGAGTCCACAGTTTGAACTTGAATTCAGCAATTTCAAAGTTTTCTGCCAGACAAAAATGAAATTAAAGCCTTGTGGTGTTTTCTGGTAACTCAATAAATACTTTGTGCCATATCTTCATGTGCTGAGGTGTAAATTGTGACTCATTTAAAAACCTCAGTCTTTAAACTTTCAATTTTGTTTCTTTTAAATGCTTCACATATTTCCTGACATCGACAGGTGTCTAATTGATTAGTTACTTCCATTAACTTCATCAGCTCCCTTGCCAACAAGTATTTTGAGGAAAATACTCAGAACCTTCCCAGTGTATGCCTTAAGTTAAACAGCCTAAAATATTCCAAGACACTGAAGTTGAATTGATTTTTATTTCCAAGCAGCAGTTGAAAGCCTTATAATTATTTAAAAAAAAAAAAAATGAAACTGTGTATGCTTTGATTGGCTCTAGGGTCATAAGATTAAATAGTGACTATTTAGCCTTGATATCTAAACAAATTTTGTGGTCTTGAATCTGATGAGAGGAACTGAGCACACATTCTTCAGTTTCTGCACCAGTTTACTAGTTACCTTGGTCCTCAGTTTGTCTCATTTCAAATGCCAAAGTAATAGACACTGGAAAGCTTTACATGACAGCATAACAACTCATAAAAACAGAATATACTGCCTAAAAGTCTTCAAAATATACCCAAGATCAGATAAATATTGTTAAACACCTCTCTTTGGAAGATCCAGGACACCTCTATGCTATGAAACACAAGGAGTTATAGAACAAACCATCCTCTCTCCCTTCATGCATACTTCTCACTTATTTAAACCCACTTAAATGCTTGACAAACCTAGAAAAGAAAGATTTCTCTCTAATCCAGCAGTATATTTCACTATATTTGAAACTGCATTTTCTTAATAACAGGTTAAAAGGAATAGAAAAACTGGAAGAATCTGAGCTTTTTATACGGACTGCAAATTTCATTCAAAAGTTTCTCAAAACTATGGAGTACAAAAGTTTTTTCTCAGTCCAGTGTATTCCAGTTCCTTGAACAGAAACCACAATTAAATACAATGCTCTTGAATTGAAATTGTAACTGTTAATCCGACAAAACTCATTCTTGTACATGGCTATAGGAGATCTGTCTGAGCAAAGTGTTCAGGTTTCTTCACCTACTCCACTGCTATAAATTCAATTCAAGTGAAAATCATCAGAGAAATTGCCTTTTATTTCCCATGAGAGATTTTGCGTTTGATTGCTTCGCTACCTTGCAAATCCTCAAAGAAGTGATTTTCAGTTGCTTTGAACAGCAGTGCGAATCGTATTCGTTGCTCCTCAGCAAGGTGCACAAACTTTCCCGCCCACAACCAGGATATAGCATCTTTTCAAACAGAATATAAAGCTTACCTTGAAGAAAGTCATGGTTGCTCCATCTTCAACTGCCCCATACTCTATCTTTGTCTGCTTGGCCAAATCGTCAGCAGAATCAATAGGGGATTCCATACGTTCCACTGTCAGAAAGGCGGCTAGGTTAGCAGTGTACGAGGAAATGATGATAAGTGTGAAAAACCACCAAATGCCTCCCACTATCCTGGTGGAGAGGGCTTTAGGCATGAGCTCAGAACCTAACGAAAACCAGGGGAGAAAGGTGAAACCAATGCACAGAAAACAATTACTAAGTGTTCAGCACTTTTTGCCACAGTGCGGAGATGGAATCACTGTGCAAAAAAATCTTTAAGCTACAGGCTTACATGTTCTGCTTGTACAAACAGACACAACTGAAATGAAAAGAAAATAACTGATTACACTTATAAAGACAGATCTTTTTGGAGCTGTGGGAATCAAAAGATAGTAATGGGAGACTCAATGATCAGTGCCTTTTTAAAATTTATAAATACATATAGCAATGTGAAAAAAGCAGTTACTTGAACTGGCTTTCCAGAAAAAATCCTGGCTGGACTGAGCCTCTAAGTTAACACTAATATTGAAGCACTTCTTTATCTTCAAGGCACTAAATAAATATTATTTAAGTATATTGCCAAAACTCAGTTGGGTAAATAAAAACTAAGCTATTGATGAAAGGAGAAGATATGAAATAAAGTATTTCATATCTGAAGTACAGACTCTGAAATCTATTATAAATATGCTTTTGACTTTTGCCATTTGTATTGTTATAAAGGGTCATTTAGTGACTGCTTAGATTAAAAAAATGAACATCTCCCATCTCTATAGTTAGCCCCACAATTTCAGATAAACATGGGTGGCTATGCCACACACTTAATTTGGTAGAGCAGCAATGAAAATATTAGACCGCTGTGCATAACTAGATAAAGATAGATTATAATGCATTGCTGGAGTTGTCTGCTCATGGCACTAAAAAATGAAGGGGGAGACAGACACTGCATAGTAATTTGTGCAATTGTTAATACTAATTTAGAATCTAATGAGACAAATTGAAGCACATAAACTCCTCATGTGCTTAATTACTAAAAATAGGAAAAAAATTCAATGTGATTTGCAACCCAAATATTTATTATAAATAAGCATGTATGGATTTTTTTCCATAATGTTAAAATTGAATGGAATGAAATTTCTAATGATATTGAATACACAATTTCAAGCTTCATTGTACGAACTTTACGTAAGATCTTTCAGAAGTATCCAGAAACTTGTTTTCAAAGAAACAGTTTTACCATATCCACTACACCATTGTACCAAAAAAATAACTTTTTGTTAATTGGTCACTATGCTTGCTTTTAAATCTCCTGGGTAAAATGGAATGAAGGCAAGATGGACTATTTTATTCCTGTTAAATTTTGTGTTTGTATTGAATTATTTAAGGAACTGGTCCAGCAAGGTAACACATCTTCATATAAATGAAAGATTATGCCAAACTTCCAACGTCAATGCCAAAAAATGAACAGAAAGGGGGAGAGGGAAAAAAAAAAAAAAAAAAAGGAAGAAAACCAAAGAAAAGGAAAAAAGAAGTGGTATCATAACTGGACTATCGTATTCAAAAACAGCCCATCTTACCCTGCAGTTCATCTTACCCTTGCTGTTTCAAACAAAAAAAGCTGACAGACTTGGACATGACAGCCAACTCCAGCGCCAGACTCTGCCTAGAATTCTGCAAGGAAAAAAGTAGAAAAGTACCTTTCTGATGTAGTTGCTCCTAGGCCCTGTTAGTCAGACACTTAGACACCATAACACTAACAGATTTCCCAAGAAGCCCACCATCATCAACTCTTTTTAATTGCTCTCATTTCATTTAAAAAGCAACACCAGTAAAGTCAGATAGGACTGGGAAGAAAAGAAGAGTGGAAACATTTGCCGCAGTTGCCCCAATTACCACAAGTTCATACCTTACCAAGGACTGAAACCGAGTGCCACCTAGGCCCGTGAAACAGAGCCTGGTTAGGGGCTGACTGTCATGTACCCAAGGTAACGTCATGTCCAGCACTATATCCCACAGTTTCCTGGGAGTGAGGGGTATCAGCAAGACATGTATGAGTTCCCTCTATCATGTATCCTCCAGCATTAAGCAAATGTTTTGTAAAGAAGCAGCACTTAATAAGTTACTGTGAGTATGGCAGAAGCGCTACGATATTGTTTCCAATGGAAAGTTATGGCTGTTAGGTGAGAACTTCCATGCTTGTGTTAAAGCCTACATTTAGATGTATTTAGGCTCTTGTGAAATTTTTTTTGAAAGCAACTATCAAAATCAAGACTGATACTTCATCCTTACAGTGGTGCCTTTGAAAGTTTATTAAAGGATGCACTGAGCCAAAGGCAAAACAATATAAGGCAAGGACAGAGGGTTAGCCTTAATTCTGAAAAACAGTTTTCCTTCATGGAAAACTATTATCCTGCAAAGATAATCTTTTAAAATTGTATTTTTTTTTCCTGT